TATAAAAGGAAATTGAAGTAAATAAATTACAGTTTATGAAAGATTTTAAATATAAAAGTGAGAGAGATAGGAGTAGCATAGGTGAAATAATTTATTCTTTATTTTAGAAAAAAAACAAAAAGATACATCATGTCTGCTCTCAAAATAAAAGAAATAATACCATAATCAACTAAACTAACTTTATTAAATTAGAGAATTTCATGATCATATCATAAAAAAATTCACAGGCGAAATTTTAAAAATCTTTGTTAAGTGATAGTCAAATTCATCATCTTAAAATTTTTTTCTAGAAAATTTTATGAAGAATAATAGAGACATTACCGTAAGAACAACTATGATAAAAGAATTAATATCTCATAGTGTTTTGATATGTTAGAACAAGATTCTGCGAAGGTATGTTTTAAAAGAAGAGATTAAGAAATATTTCATGCTTTCTTAGTTAAACATATTGACATAAATAATATAATTAACCATGATTGTTTGAAACTTTATTATAAAAAATTGTTTTAAAGATCACATAGTTTTAACTACTCTCAAAATATTGTTTGCTCTAAAACATACTGTTATATTCAATTAATTTACTATTTTTAAATTTCTACAAAATTAAAAATAATTAAGAATGAAATAAACATAACAGCTTCTATGTTAAAACCCGTTTGAGTTTTTTTACTTTTGTTTTTATTAAAAAGAAGTTTTTAAAAAGAATTATAAATCATTAAAGAAAATTATAATAAAGTTTGTTTTTTACATAATATTATGATATAAATCAGTTTATTGAGAGTTAATCAAAACGATACTGATCTATTTTTTTACAGTCCGCTACAATAAAACCTGATTTTTTTAAAGTATTTTTTGTTGTTTTATTACTGCTACTCCTATCACTCTTAAAATCTTTATTGTTTTTATAATAAAAATCTTTAAAAAACCTTTCAAAAAGCTGTAATTTATTTACTTTTATATTTTTTTTAAAATGACATCATTTGTTTTAGATTGTAAAAACATTTCTTCAACTAATTAAATCAAACTTAAAGAAAACTGTTTTTAATGATTAAACAGTTTTAATAGTATATCTTTATTAAATTTTCTGAATACTCATTGTATATACTTATGAAAATTAATCAAACCATTTCATTTTTATATTAATTGTATTAGATCTATTAAAGAGGAATAAAATTTATTGATCAATATTCCATGGAACTCTATTCATTAAATTAATAAAATTACGTAAAACTTTTATTTTTTCGGCCTCAAAATAACTATTTCTTGTTGAAATCAAATTTGTTTCACATGAAGAATGAATATACCCGAGATACATATAACTTATTAATTTAAAAATTTTTTTCATATGATTTTTATCAAGTTTAATACCACGTAATTTTGAAATGTCTTCAAAGTATTCAAATACCATAAAATATTCTATTTTTTCACGTTGATAAAATTTACCAATTTTAAAAAATTTGTTTATACTTTCAATAAATTTCTTACATTTATATAATTTCTCATTTTCAGTAAAAGAATTAAAACGAGAAAGAAAATTTTTGTCAATTAAATCAATAAATTCTTCTTTTGTACTTTGTAAATTTTCAATGTCATCATTGTTTATCATATTAACCACTTCCTTTAATTTTAAAAAATACGAATAAAACTTAATATACTCGTTTAACAAATCTATGAGTATATTAATAAATTCTATATTTTCTTCTTTATAATATTTATAATCATTATAATGTTGATATGTTAAAACATGAACAAATCTTAATAAAAAACATTCAAAAAAATTCAATCTGTTAGACTTACTTTGAATTGTGTTTAAATCTAAATTAGTAATTTTTTCTAATTTAGATTCATTAAATGTTTTTGTTTTTAAGATTATGTAAAATTCATATGTGGCTATTGGAAATGAAAAACCTCTTCTCTGTATAATTCTATAAATAATCTCTTTATATTGTTGATTAATATTATCTGAAATAGATTCACCAAATCTATTTTCTAACTCAATAAAAAAACTGGCTCTGATTTGATTGGCGCCCCATTTCATGATTGGCGCCCCATCTTTTAGTTTTAATCCGTCAATTGGATTGGCGCCCCAT